GATAGATAGATAGATAGATAGATAGATAGATAGATAGATAGATAGATTCAATAAATTACCTTTGTTTACAATTTAGGGAGAAACAGTTCATAAAGGTATGCATGGTTAAAATAGCACAAAGTATGAAGAAATTGTTAGATTGTAAAATATGTAACAAAAAATGTTGAGACATCACCCACACAATGTGTTATAACTTTGAAAAATGGGGTTGAGTAAAGTTTAAGCACAAATTAACAGTAATAAACTAAAAGAATAAACACACTTTATACTGTGGAAGAAAATAGACTGACAGACATTTTCACAATTATTTTCAAATTAAGTGACAAAATGGGCAGCAGAATTATGTGATGGCTCTAACATCAGCAATCCAAGCAAATAGTGATTTTTTTTCTAAACATTTAAAAAGACAGAACGTTAGTGCTGTTACCGTGAGAAGGTGTTTCTGGCGTAGTGCATGATGCTGTCAAAATCATACGGCTCCCCGAGGGAGTTCACTTCTCCTGGCTCCATCTTCAGGAAGTTGTACTCCTGGCCTGAACGTCACACAAAGACTCAGATTTAGCATTGCTTCTACAGACTGTGACAATTTAACCTGTTTCCAAGCTTCAACTCTTCACAATCTCAGCAAACAGAAATGGTGTTTAAAATCATTTACTCTGAACATGCATACATTTAGGGACACAAATCAAAAAGGTAAATGTAGAATGTAGATTTTTTTTGTTGAAATCGATATGTTCTAAATAAATCAGACTCGTCTTTCACACACTGCTGGGTGACTTCATGTAACACCTGTCAGGCTGCATGGCATTACAGAGTTACAATTAAGGAAAAGTGACAGTTGGACAAAGAAACAGTAAAAGTGACTTCACAATCATTTCACACTCACTGAAACCTATAAATGAGTGAGAATTCCCACACACACACAGAGTCTGAGACCCAGGTGGCTCCTGGGTAATGAGTTTCACCTGGCTGGATGTTATCCCGGATTATGGTCACATGATCATCACGGTCAGGTCGTGTGTGTTCATGCCAGAAGCCTATAACGTGGCCCAGTTCATGAACTACAATGCCAAACTTGTCACAGTTCTTTCCTATAGAGATGGCCTGGGGTCCGTTGCCACGACGACCGACATAGGAACAACACCTAAAAAAGGACGTTCGTAACAGGGAGATAAGCACAAGATATTTACTACAGCTTTAACAGTTTGTGTACATGTCTTTTCATCAATGAACAAGCGCACGCACACACACGTGCACGCATGTCCACATGCACACACAGTCTTTCCAGCATCTCCTGCACTATGCTGCTACAGAGCTAGTATTATTTACATCAATGCTGATATTCATGCACTTTTATAACACATTATAAAAAAGCTGTGACCGTTCTTTTTTCTTTTTTTTTTTTACTGAACACAGACAAAGACAAACACACACACACAAAAATTAATTTGCTTTTCTGGTTACTGGAGACTTTGGTGCCAGGCTAACAAATCTGATTAAAGTTATCCAGTGAGCTGATTGCACGGTGAGGATCAGGAGTCAGTGAAGCAGTGTGCTTTTCCTGCACACCAACATCACATTGTACACACTACACTAACAAACATACATGTTGTTCATAAATTCCTGTATTTTTACACTCTAACAAAAGTTTCATTTCACACACTGCATATTCAACATATGCCAGACTGGACACACAACTGGCATCATTAATAACCAGCATATTTTTATAAAAACCTTAATGTCTCAATTTTTTTTTTCTTATTACATGATTATTTAATAGGAACTCTTTTTTCCTTTTTATTTATTTATTTATTTTTGCGAGTGCAAACGGTAGCAGCATCTACTATCTAAAAAGGTAAATTAAAAAGAGAGAGAGATTCTAGCTGCTTAAAGATGGCAGCAGTCCACTTTGGCTTCGACCCTGTTCAGATGAGCTTATCAAGCTGGTTAGAATTAAATTTCATTCAAGGAGCTGTGTACGATGTGTTTCATAACTTTTTGACAAAACCCAACTTGTTAGAAGCTTAAGTGTCACATTAATATTGACCCATTTGTCATTAAGTAATGCTTAGAGGGAATGTGTACAGTTAAAAGCCACAGAGATGCATCCAAGCAAACATGGGAAAATCAAAGAGAACAGAAGAAGTTACTGTATTACACATTATAGTTGTTTGGATCATTCCTCATTTAAATGTTGCACATTTTCCTGACCATCTTCGAAAAAAATAAATAAATAAAAACAGCTTGATGCATGGTGATCTCGTACTTAATTCAAAAATCTTTTCCACTGGGTAGTGGGGAGTATAGTTTGTTTCACACCAGGAATTTGTGATAAATGTGTTAAAATATGTCAGATTGTTTACAAATACACAAAATGTACTGAGTTTGTGTAGTGGTGTCTCATTGTTTACTACTTTAAAGAGTGAGTTCTTCTTCATTTCAATAAAGGGTGACAATTATTGTATTTTTTGGACTATAAGGCGCACTTAAAATCCTTTAATTTTCTCAAAAATCATCAGTGCGCCTTATGTATTAATTCTGGTTGTGCTTACTGACCTCAAACCGATTTTATGTGGTAAAAATCTGTCAAAATCCGGTGCGCCTTATAGTCCGAAAAATATGGTACATTACATTTGTATCAATAATATATTATTACCCTCTGCTTAAGATGAAAGGGCAATAGTGTTTTTGCCCTTGTCTGTGTGTGTGTGTGTGTATCTGTGCATTACTAAATTACCTCATAATCTATTGGATAAATATTTAATAAAACATCTAGAACACGTGTCAAACTTGAGGCCCGGGGGCCAAATGTGGCCCTCGTTTGCATCTTATCTGGCCCCCAAGATGATATGTTAAATGTAAAATACTTTTTTCACTTGAATTTTTTCAGTAATCTTTGATTATGATGTCAAAGCGCAACAGAGAACGTCAAATGAGGCCAATCAAACTTTTTTTGAGGAACCTGCGAACACAAAAAGATGTTGAGTATCTTGACTTGAGTTAATGTAAATTCTGAAACTGGCCCTTAGTTTGAAAAGGGTTTTAATTTTGGCCCCCTTTTGTAAGTGAGTTTGACACCCCTGATCTAGAATGTAACCATTAGATGAACATCTACAACTGATAAACTTTCAGTTGACCTCATTCAAGATGGTTTCTACAGCCAACTGAACTTAAACACATGGAAATAGCTATAACTTTGTTGGTTTTACAGATATTGAGCTGAAATGTGATGTGGTAGTAGCTGAGAGTCATTCACCCACAACTTTGACTGTGACGCCTCAAAACCACGCACCATTTTCAGTCCTCAGAAACTCACCAATAGTGTAATTCTAATTATTACATTAAATAACAACTATAATCATAACCTGAAGTAGAAAAGTGTTTTTGCTGCAAAAGAATCTTGGTCATGTTATCACTGCAACTCTACAACTTCATCAGCTCCAACGGTACAAAACTGGTTGTCCTTTTTTTTTTAACCATCTGCACAGTCTTGGCATAAAGCAATAAACTCAAATGTCCTGATCTTGGTCCTTCTAAAGCTTTACGGCTTGTATCAACCAGCGAGTGAAGTGTCACCGCTGTACAAATACACTTTGACCCCACCGTGCTGCCACTTGACAGAACAATGCTCCTCTGCGGAGTGCGAACAAAAGAACGGCACGAACATACAAACACTTAAACTGAGCAGCGTGATTGGTGGGACGGGGAAACAGGAGCAGGACAGGAAGGAAAGCAAAGCCATTGTTGAGTGACCGTATCGTCTCTCACTGTGACAAGGTCACTGGTGAATTCTAGGCACACACACACATAATCACAACACTCCAAGATATACAAAGAAATCTTCCACACTCACCCGCAGGGTCTGTAGGTGAAGACAATGTAGCTTTCTTCATCTGTCTTTTCGATGAAAGTTACACAAGTTTGTTTCTCCCAGTGACGCATGGCCTGCTTGAACATGGCCCTCTGACTACCTGAAACACACACACATTTCTCACATCCTACCTTTACACAATCACACTTGGCATATATCTGACTGCAGAGTGGTGAAGGGAAGTGATCCTGTGGAGTTGCTTACCAGTAAAGTTTCCTCCGATGACGTAGGGAATGACTCCCCCAGGCCAGATTCTTTCAAACCGGGATGTGGCTGCTCGAGGAACACGACTCTTCACAGCCTTACCAGCTTTCCCGGTTTGGCTCTTTGAACTGGTCGCTCCTTTGCTTTCATTCTTGGGGACAAAGTCTAAGAAAAAAATGAGAGAAAAAGAAACAAACACTCGCAAATTCAGATAAAATCAAATAAAGATGAACTGCAGACTGTATCAGCTCATAAATATTCCCATATATTGTTGGACAAGGCCATTTGTTATTACATTTAACCATTTTAGGAACCAAAACCCTGCTCAAAATCCTAAACATGAGCATAAAAGAAGATCCATCCATCATCCATCCATCCGTTATCTTCCACTTGTTCTGAAGTCGGGTCACAGGGGCAGCAGCTTAAGCTGGAAGGGCCAGACATCTCTTTCCATAGCCACCTCTTCCAACTCTTCTGGGGGGGACCCCAAGGCATTCCCAGGCCAACCGAGAGACGTAGTCTCCCCAACATCTTCTGGGTCTTCCCTGGGGTCTCCTCCCCTTCAGACATGCTCGAAGCACCTCCCTAGGGAGACACCCAGGGAGCATCCTTAACAGATGCCCAAACCACCTCGACTGGCTCCTCTCAATGTGGAGGAGCAGCGGTTCTACTCCGAGTCTCCCATGGATAACTGAAATTCTTACCCTATCTCTAAGGGAGAGTCCAGCTACCCTGCAGAGGAAACTTATTTCAACCGCATGTATCTGTGATCTCATTCTTTTGGTCACTACCCAGAGCTCATGGCCATAGGTGAGGGTATGCAGACCGACCAGTAAACAGCATTGTCTTACAGCTCAGCTCCCCCTTCACTACAACGGACCAGCACAAAGTCCACAATACTGCAGATGCCATACCAATCCATCTGTCTCACACAGATCTCCCTTCACTTGTGAACAAAACCTCAAGATATTTGAACTCGTCCACTTGAGGCGGAACTTCACTCTTGACCTGAAGAGAGCAATTCACCCTTTTCTGACTGAGGACCGTGGTCTCAGATTTGGAGGTGCTGATTCTCATCCCAGCTGCTTCACTCTTGGCTGCGAACCGCTCCAGTGAGAGCTGAAGATCACGGTAAAATGATGCCAACAGGACCACGTCATCTGCAAAGAGCAGAGATGGAATCCTGAGGCCATTAAACTGGAAACCCTCTGCCCCCTGACTGCACCGAGAAATTCTGTCCATAAAAGTTATGAACAGAATCGGCGACAACAGGCAGCCCTGGTGGAGTCCAACTCCCACACTGAAGTGGTCAGACTTACTGCTGGCAATGTGAACCAAACTCTTGCACTGCTTGTATAGGGACTGAATAGCCCGTAACAGCAGGCCCCCAATCCCATACTCACGAAGCACCCCCCACAGTGTACCTCGAGGAACACGGTTGAAAGCCTTATCCAAGTCCAAAAAAACGCATGTAGACTGGATGGGCAAACTCCCATGACCCCTTGAGAACCCTAGTGAGGGTAAAGAGCTGGTCCAGTGTTCCACGGCCAAGACATAACCCACATTGTTCCTCCTGGATCTGAGGTGTGACCAACAATCGGACTCGCTTCTCCAGTCAAAGAAGATCAAGACTATAAAAAGTCTACCGGAATAATTTTTTTAGATAATTACAATAAAATCAGTGAACTCAGACATACAAAGTCATTAGTACAGCTGTTTAAACAAAAACATCTAAACATGGAATACATTTCAGATTGCTTACCAAAGCCAAACCTGCGTATTCTTTCCAGCAGGAGGTCCAATGATCCTCTCTTTACTGTTTCATGTTCTCCCATGCCACCTGATACAAAAAGAGATTACATTTAAAACAAAACATTACAAATGCTGATATCCACTTGAAACATACCTCCTGCTGAAACTGCTCTACAAAAGTCTAAAATTATTAGTTATTGAGCATGCATCAGGATGCTCTACAAAAGCTACTGAGAAAATGTAAGGAAAAAAATATAACTTAACAAAAGTAAAGTATTACTGAGTTTCTTTCTGTCCACTTACCCGAACTGTGTCCTTGTGGGGAGTGTTGATGCAGGTTTGTGTGTTTTGTAAGGTCTATCGTTCTGTCGATGTGGAACATTCGCAAGTCCTCCTCATCTAAAGCAATGTCGCCCCAAAAAACAGCTAAAAAATAAAAATAAATAAACTATTATTGTCAAATCATTCCAACAATCACTACTTAATATCAAGAGCAGTCATCACCATCTTTTTCATGGAATAAAAATCATTATTACAATAAAAATTCCAATAGTATTGACCTTAAACCTGTGAAACATCAATGGGAAATAGTAGAATCCCTGCAGCATTTGATAAAAGACACAAAGTTTTGGAAAATACTTTGATGGTTGTTAAACAATACACTGGTTTATCAGAGCCTACTGGGTGGCCAGCAGTAAGTTAACACCACTTGTGTTCAGTCTAATCCCTCCTAAAACCTGCATGTAGCTGCCAGTGTGAGGGTTTCAATGGAGAAACAAGAACATAGTTGATTTAATTAAATAAAGTTAAACCTAAGAGGATTGTTCAGGCTCAAATTGGGATGTTTTGATCCAGACTGACCAACTAACATTTTCCATGGTGCTATAACTTTTAGTTTTTTTTATAACTTTTATACTTTTCAAAATATTGAACTTTATTTACAAATATTCAGTGAAACATAGTGCTTTAAAATCTCTTCAGTTTTATTATCTTGGAGATATATTTTAGTCTTCTTGTGCAAATTTAAACATTTATGTTGCTAAACTAAAACTAAACAGCCACTGGCCAAAAGGATGGCCCAGCACAGAAGATCAACATCATCAGGCCAGGACTCTGCGGTCTACACTCATCTCCAGGCCAGCGGTCACTCTTTCAGGGATGAAGATGTTCACATCCTGGACAGAGAGGAACGATGGTTTGAGAGAGGAGTAAAGGAGGCCATCTTTGTGAAAAGAAATAGTCCATCATTAAACAGGGGTGGAGGCCTCCGGGTTCAACTGTCCCCCTCTTACAATGCTGTGATTGCTAGTATCACTCAGCCCTCTGTGAATAGTAAACAGCCATCAGTGTGCTAATGACCCATTGTTAGGCTGATGGTCCTTCTTGAGCATGTGATCAGCTGGTTTTGGTTGTCAGCAGCAAACTGGTTGATCCACTCTGTGAAGGTGCTATTTAAGAGACTGAGCTGAAAACAGCACCTCAGACTGAGGAAGTCTCTTGGATGAGAGACGAAACGTTTCTAGATTTTTTTTGCTTTGTTTTGTTTTTTGTTTTTTTGAATGTCCAGAGGACCAGATTGAACTTTTTTGGATTTATGTTGCCTTTTGCTACTTTTAGCTTTAGCTAGCCTTTTAATGCAATAAGTCAGTCTTTTGCTACTTTTCCTTTTTAGTCAGCTTTTTGTTGCTTTTTAGCTTTTAACTAGCATTTTAATGCATTAGGCTAGCCTTTTGTTATGTTTACTTTTTCACCAGTCTTTTGGTGCTTTTTAGCTTTTAGCTGTCATTTTGCTACTTTTAGCTTTTAAATTAACTTTTGCTGGTTTTAGCTCATGCTTTGCTACTTTTACCTTCAAGCTACTGTCATGTTTCTTTTACTTTGCCACTTGGTGCATTTAGCTAGTTTTTTTTCTTCTTTTTTTAGTTTCTAGAATGTGACCTGTCTGAGAATTATTGGTTTTTAGTATGTGTTGTTTTTTTTTGTTTTTTTTTACTTTAATAACCAAGGTTTAGCTTTTCAACCAATTATTAACCAAGCAAAGTTATTCAGATCATTATTTTTTTTAATTTAGTTAGTTTTTTTTATTTTTTATTTCATCGACAGCAACAGTCTCACAAAACAGCAGTGTTGTCAAAGTTTCAGTCACTCAGCTGGAGCTCAGAAAAGCTTCCCTCCCCCTCCACACAGACGGAGCCATACAGTACAGTGGCCTTACAGTGGTTCGACAGTGATTTTAGTCTTTGGCATAAAATTATAGTCCCAACGACACCCTCCCTACATGTTTTTTTTAACCATCAAGAATACAATCGATCCTCTCGTTGATTCTTTTCGCAACAAGAACCTTCTATCTGAACTAACAGTCAAAGTTTCAAACCATAATGTTCATAATTCATAATGTTTCTAGCATTAATGTGGTTTTTGTCTTTCTTCCAAAATAAAGTACACCTGGACCTGTCATTCTGCGTTCGTTTGGTTCTCCTTCCTGTCTCTCAAATCCCAGCTGGTCAAAGCAGATGGCTGCTCATCCTGAGCCTGGTTCTGCTGGAGGTTTTTTTCCCGTTCCAATGAGTTTTTCCTTTCCACTATTGCCGATGTGCTTGCTCAGGATGGGAGACTGTGATGAAGTGAAGATTCAATGAGTCTGCAGCTTCCTTAGATAGATAACTTTACTAATTTGCTATGAATGTTTCTGTTCTGTGCTCTGAGACAACTTCTGATGCAACATGGCGGTATATAAATAAACTGAATTGAAGAATAAACTGCATAGCAATTGTAAATGCAGTCATTCACTATTTCACACAAATATGTAGTTTAGAGAGCAGCAACAGCTTTGTTATTACATGAAAAATGTTACTAACAAAAGGCTACTGGTACCTAAATTCAAAGAAAAATAATCTAAAAATCTAAAATATTGCTTGCTTTTGTTATCAATGCAAAAATATGATGCAGTGTAGGGAAACTAAAAAATTGACACTTCAACATGTCACTTTGATCATTTCAGTTTCTTGTTCCAAGAGTTTCATTTGATTAATGATATGGTTAATGTACAATTGAGATCACTTTTGACACATGATCCAACAAGTCATATATAATACTCCTATAAACCATTTATTAATGAAAGCCCAGCTTCAGAAGACTGCAACAGCACAAGTTACTCTGTTTGTTTATTTGCTGTGTCCACCTTCAATCTACCTCCATCAGTTATCCATCTTTAGATAAGACCAAACCCTTCCACAGGTTAATAACCTAAAATTATTTTGTTTTGAGTGATTCCAGCATAGAAAAACAAACATCTGAAATAAACATTCATCCGCTATTATAAATTTAAAGGGATTCATTGCAAATTATTTGAAAAAAATAATATTGATTTAATGCAATTCTTGTATGTGGTCCACACTCAGTGAACACACTCATTTTGATGAATCTACCAGAAAACCCCACGGGAGCTTAAATTACAAAACTGACCTATATTGGGCTGGCTGTCATCTGTGTAACTAAACTAATATAGTGGTGCATGGAAGTTTGTGAACCCTTTATAATTTTCTATATTTCTGCATAAATATGACATAAACATCAACAGATTTTCACAAAAGTCCTAAAAGTAGATAAAGAGAACCCAGTTAAACAAATGAGACACCATTAGTATACTTGGTCATTTATTTATCACACCAGATACCAAAAGCAAAGGTTCACATACTTTTGCCACTCACAAATATGTAATATTGGATCATTTTTCTCAATAAATAAATGAATAAGTATAATATTTTTATCTTATTTGTTTAACTGGGTTCTCTTGATGTGTTCGTGTGTGCACATCTGCTCACACAGACTCATGTTCATGTTTGTGCTGATGTTCAATGTTTTATGTTATGAGTGCTTAGTGTATATTTAGTTGATGTTTTTCTTAGTTCATATCTTAGACGTTATTACTGTTTTTCTTATACATTTTATTGTTGGATGTAACTGGGACCCTGTGTACATAATTTCGCTCCACCACATGTACCACATGAGGTGCAAATGACAATAAAGAATCTCTGACTCTGACTCTGACTCTTTATCTATGTTTAGGACTTGTGTGAAAATCTGATGATGTTTTAGTTCATATTTATGCAGGACTATATAAAATTATAAAGGGTTCACCTATTTTAAAGCACCACTGTAAGTAGTAAGTACCTTTTCACCAATTTTCTGTTACTTCAACATTGAGTAAACAAGTATGCACAATTGCTCGTCAATAATAAGAACCAAAATGTTACCTAGAGCCTACTCCTCTCTATAGCAAAATATATTTCATTGAAGAAGAAGAAATTGTAGTTCAGAAAGTATGAAATCTAACTCTTTTCTGCAGTAGTCATTTTTAACACAAACTTGTTGACATTACATCTGTTCCTGAATTAATTTTCATTCTCAGAGGTCACACGCATGCAAGACTGTGGTGGAGCAGGTCAGCAGCTTCAAGTTTCTCGGCGTTCACATTACTGCTCTACCTGGGTGTATCCCAGGTACGATGGGTTAAATGCCGAGAACCAATTTTGCCATTGTATGGGAACATACAACGATGACATCACATAGCACTTTATTTACTTTACTGAGGATCTGTCCTGGACATTACATACGACACTGTGGTCAAGAAAGCCAGACAAAGACTCTACTTCCCAAGAAGACTAGACGTTTGGTATGAACACCAGCATCCTCACCTACTTCTATAGGTGCACCATTAAGAGCCTGCTGACAGGCTGCATCACAGTGCAGGAACTGCACCAGTCAGAAAGCTCTACAGAGGGTGGTGCAAACAGCAGAGGACATCACTGGTAGCAGTCTCCACACCATCCAGGACATCTACCACTGCCGATGTCTGCGTAAAGCAGGCAGCATCATTAAGGACCACACCCACCCAGCACAAGGACTCTTCCATCTACCCTCAGGCAGACGATACAGGAGTCTGCCATCATGTACAAAAAGACTAAAGGACAGTTATTATCCACAAGCTGTCAGATTACTGAACTCTTGACAAATAACACTGAACAACTGGCAATAACATTGCACCAAGACACATCTGTGACAACTAATATGTTTATTGCTGCTGCATTATGTGGCTGTGTCATGTATGTCACTACCTTACCATCATAATTCAATTAATCTCAATGCTACTCACGACCTGTGCAATAACCTGTCACACAACTTGTGTAGTTTGTTATGTGCATTAGATATCATGTGCATTTAAGATTATATTACTACCTGTAAAATACTTATTCATTCAAATTCATCCTACTCGCACCGTTATATTCTACCATGTGATCATTTCCTATATTTCTTTTGGACCTTGTAAATATTATATTTCTTTTTACTTTTTGGTACTATTTTTGTACACTTATTGCATGCTTTAGTATTTTTTGTTTATTTGTTTTTAGAAAGTAGTATCGGTT